TGCACCCAACTGAGGTCGCCATCATCCTGACTTGCGGCCCTGATCGCTGAGTCCGAGAGGTCAACCCCCGTCAGCGCGGTCACTGTGCCAAGCCAAGAGTGGGGAGGGCGTCGACACAACCTGTTAGGCTCCCGTGCGTCCACGATCAGCCGCTGTAGACCATCTTTTTTCTTGACCACGAAGATACCGATGCGTGCCCGAATTGAGGTGCGGAACCCGACGAGCCCCAACTCCGCGAGCCGAAGGATGAGACGCCGCCGCTCCGAGGTGTCGAAGCGCAGCTTCGGGTCCCAGTACGGCGCGAAGGCTCCAGAGTCGTACTCGAGCTCGGACGAGTCCCTCAAAATCTTGCCCTCTGGGTCTGCCAACATAGCCCGCTGCTCGGAGGGCAGCAGGTCTTCCATGTCCTTGACAGACACGCCAGCCGAGAGCACCTTCACACGGTCGAAGTCGAAGCTCCCGAGGTGGCTCGGCTCCACAGTGTACAAGTCTTTCACGCGCAGAAGCTCCTGGAGGGCTTCGTGCGGCTTGAGGTCGGCTGGAGCGTCTCCAGCACTTGAAACAAGCCGCCCAACTCGCTGGCGCACGGAGTCCTGCGTTCCAGTGAGAGGCGGCCGAAAGGCTGAGTGTGGTCCCTCATCAGCACGTCGAAAGGGACACGACGGGCCCTCCTGCAGCGCGTTGAGAGCGCCGAGAACGGAGTTCACCCGCCGCTCGCGATACCACCGACGCCGAAGCCGCTGCTGTAGGTAACGCCGGTGGTCACGTAGGGCGTCAAGTCGCCCTTGAGGAGGTACCAAAACTGGCAGCGGGTCACCGTGCTGGCGGCGCCCAAGCTGCGAGCCCGAGAAAGCCCCCTGGATCCTCTGCGGCGTGCCTCTCGGGCCGCGAGGCGCCGCATCACCAGAGGGAAGCCCATGCATACTACTTCTTGTCGCCGGCATTGGGACCGTGCTCCGACTTCCCGCCGGTCTTGCCGTCCCTCTGCCGCTTGTCGTCGGCCGCTCGCTCCTCGCGCCACAGCCTCTGTTGCTTCAACAAGAAGCCCTCGTCCTTCTGCCTCTCCGCAATCCACCTCGTGAACTCCCGAGTCATCACCTCCCCGCCCGGCCCGATCGGCGTCGCCATCACCATGTCGAGTCCGTCGAAGTCCGGCGCCTTCGGGTTGCGCCGAACCGCACTCTCGATCTGGATCAAGCGCCGGGCGGCAAGCTCAGCCGAGAGAAGGTTGCTGATGTCCAGCTGGTCGGTCGTGAGCATGAGATAGAGCCACGAGCTCACGAACTTGTGCTCGCGGGCGACGGCGCCCTTCGGCGCCACCCCGCTCTTGGCCTCCCAGTCGAGGTTGTGCGTCACGAAATTGAACCCCACCCGAGTGGGCCCCTCCGCGTACTCGTCCAGAGCCGGCGGCCCGTCCAACGTCGGGAGGGGCTGCTTCACCCGGCGCATCATCTTGAGCGCGGTCTCGGCGTCCAGGAACCTCTGAGAGGACTTGTCCCTGGTGTCGGCCAGCAGCCGGGGGTCCCGCCCCGGCCCGACTCGCTTCTCTCTGAGCCACGCCTCGTGCTCGGAGGGGATGACCTTCTGGGCGAAGGTCCACTTCCCGTCGAGCCTGAGAAGAGCGACGTCACCCTTGATGACGGAGGCCTCCTGGTCCCGCATCGCTCCGACGGGCACCTCCTCCCCGAAGGCCGGGGACGCAGGGTCGGCGACTCGCCAGGCCGCCTCCTGGGCGGGCGCGGCGCCACCACCCTGAGCTTGCACCGCCGACAGGTCAAAGCCAGCGATCTCCGCCAACTCGAGGGCCTCGGCCCGAGCCCGCGCCAGCTCTGCGTCTGAGGCGTTCGGGTCGAACAGGAAGGCCTCCGGCAGGTAGTCCCGCTCGACTGGCATCCCCCGTCGCAGCACCCGGATGTGATGTCGCGACAGATCGGCCAGCTGGATACTCCATGTCGGGGTCGCGACCACCCAACGTCCGTCTCCACCCTTGATGAGAAGTATTCGGTGATGCCAGCGCAGGCCGTTGGCGTCATCGTCAAAATTGATGAGCACCTGTTTTTCTGGTATATCCAGGGCTCGGTGTGCGGCGGCCGCAGCGGCCGCCATGGCTAGCGCTCAAGAGCTGCGAGGGTGGCCGGCGTGAACGGCCCGAAGGTCCGTCTCCCGCCTGCCGAGGTGGTCTCCGAGGTGCCTTCTGTCGCCCGCTTGCACCGTGAGATGCTGCTGCCCACGAGGAAGCCCACGAACCCGACGGTCGGGATGAGGGCGATCAGCACGAGGATGAGCGTCCAAGGAAAGGGCACGCACGACACGTCGTCACACTCTGGGCACCTGGTGCCGGTCGCCTGTCGCACCTGCTCGTACGATAATTCACGAATCACCTCCAAATGACTGCTACACTCAGAGCTGGGGCAAGTGACCGTGACTTCTGGACACTGGCACGTGCAGATGGTCGGCTCTGGCCGACTCCAGTAACTGAAGAGATCTCGGGCAATCACCCAGGCGAAGCGTGCCTTCTCTGAGCTGCTCACACGGCGGCGCGAGCCGCAAATTAAGACTTGAGCCAAAGCGCCCACGACGGTGAAGGGCGCTTGGCAAACATTCAACACTCACGGGAGGCCGATGAGCGACAGCACTACAGACGTTGAGAACAGTGTAATATACAAGTGGCACGTGTGTGCCCAGGCTCATACAACAAGCTGAAGGGGCGTTTGAAGCAGGAGTGACATGCAACAGCGAAGTCGCACTCGAGCGCAAGTGGGGTTGCCACACCTTGCGATGTGTGTACCAGGGCCCCCCAGGAAGCCTCAGGAGGCCCGACTTGGATACCAGGAGAGGCTCCAGGAGGCCCCAGGATTGTGAGTGTTGTGTGTGTGTGTGTGATGTGTGCTTTGTGTGGTGCGTGCTTTTTGCGTGTTGTCGGTGTTGTGTGTGTGTGTGTATGTTATGTTTGTCTAGCGTGTGATGTGTTGGGCGTGATTTGTGTCTCTGTGTGTGCATGTAGTTCTGAAGCCCCAGGAGGCCCCAGGAGGCCCCAGGCGGCCTCAGCAGGCCCAGGAGAACTCCAGGAGGCTCCGAGGCGGGGTCTGGGGTACCAGAAGGTCCAGAAAGCCCCAGGAGGCCCCAGGAGGTTCCAGGAGGCCCCCAGGAGGCTCCGAGGAGGGGTCTGGGGCTCGATTTTGGGAGGATGTCTCAGGCGACACCGCCATTCTCTGAGAATCGGAGTCAAAATCATTGAAATTACCATGTGTTCTTGAAGGTTTTATGATACAATGTTGGAAATCCTATGTGTTTTTGCACCCTGACGTCACGATCTGCGTGAGGGGTGCCACCGATTTTCAGAATTTCGAGGATGTCCCGAGCGAAACGGCCAGAAAAATCGCGAACGACGGACGCATTAATCGCCTCTGAGCTCTACTCCCTCGGAGAGGTGCGTATGAGAATATATATGTGTGTGCATTATTATTACCGTACGGTGAAGCGCGAAAACAAAAGTTGTTTGTGATGCCAAAAAACCACAAACTTGCATCCACAAGTAGTGGCACGAATGTTACCACCGATTGCTTGGCCACATTTCCGCCGTCCTGGGCACGCATGCTCGCAATTGCGAAAACATGCGGTTTTCGTGGCTGCCAACCATGGTACCACAACAAAAACCTTTTCCGCCCTTGGGTACGCGTGCAACCGCGAACGCGACAACTACGATTCTGCGATTGCCAAACGGTGGGGCGCGAGGACGAAAGTTGTCTCATGTTTTCGCAACGTATGGAATCATGTTGTTTTCGGATTGTCAAACGATGAGGCGCGAAGACAACTATGATTGCTTATGCGCAAAAAAAAACAATTTGAAATCCACACGAATTGGTTAGAAAATTACCCATGGCTGCTTGGCCACATTTCCGCTTACCTAGGTGCCCATGCTTCCGCGCATGCGAAAACACACGGGTGCGTCGTTGCCAGACGATGAGGCGCGAGAACAAACAGTGATTACTACGCAACGATTTGGACCCACACTTATTGGCTAGAAGTTTACCCTTTTCTTTGCCACATGTCCGCTCTCCTGGGAGCGCGCGCGTTCCTCTGCATGCGAACGCTTACTGTTCTCTACGCCCAGAAGAAACAGGATTTTCAGGCAGAGGTTATGGGGCTCCAAGAAAACGATGCAGATTTCAGGCATGGGTGTAAGAAAATTCCAACCGCCCAGGCCTGTCACCAGCCTGTAGCGGGAGGATCGCTATTGGATCTCAATTGGGTTCCAATAGCTCCTTCTGGAGACCACAAGGAATAAGAATAGGACCCCAATCAGGGCAAACTATGAGTCATCGAGGGCCGGTTTTTGCTGAGTCTGGGTCCTGATGGGATCATGCTACTGCCCGCATGGATCGAAAAGGAAGGATTCCGATTGAATTCCAATGCGATCTCCTTCGTATTTATCTGGTTCTGATGGGATTCCAAGGAAGACGGTTCCTACTGCTTTCGAATGAGAACCCACAAGAATACCCACCGGATTTCCATATAGCACCCGCAGTGCGCTTCCCCCAGGATTTCAATAGGAAGGTTTCTTAGTTGTAATTCCATGAGGTTTCCAATATGTTCCCATTAGGGAGGGCCGCAGCGGGCTTCAATAAGAAACATCCCTATCGGACTCAAAAAGGACATCCGTATACCCCATATCGAAGAATCTTGTTGAGCACCAGTGGGTTTCATAACAGGATCCCGTGGGAAGTGTGCCATCCGGATTCAATTAGGATCCTTTTTGGATCCAATTCGGAATCTGCCACTTTACAGATTCTCGCCTCCGACGGGCCACTTTACAACCAACACGCTTCAGAGAGCGAAATGTCCCCCTTACGTGGGCCCACGGAGATTTCGGAAATTGAAGAAAATGTGTCGCTCATGTGCGCTTACTCGCCTGCTTGTAAAGTGGCCTTCCTGGTCGTAAAGTGCCCTTCTGGGAAAACCCATGCTGGTTGTACAGTGCCCCAGCTGTTTGTTTTTTTTTCCACCGCACCCATTGGATGAAGGCTCGAACTCGAAATAAGCCAAATCAAAAAAACGCCGGCCGGGTTAACGTCACCCCAAATGGGCTCCGGTCATATCCCCCCCCCCCCGGGAGGCGACAGAGATGCACCACTGGAATTCCTAAAACACTTCGGTCAAGAATCCAACTCCTATCGAGCACAACCCTGAGCTGCCGGATGTTATATATCTGACCCTGAGCACCGTGCACTAACACGAAAACTTAAAGTCCGACATTCTGCTGGGGCGGGCCGCAAGCCACAAGAGCAGGTTTCAAAACGCGGACGCCGCCACACACCTCAAGCCGAGTTCAAAGAAAAGTAACGAATTCCCCCCCTGCACCAGGAGGAGGAAGCAGGAGGAAGAACGGGAGGACGAGGAGGAGAGGAGGGGAACACTGGCCCGCGCGCATAAAACGACACTGAGAGTGCCCAGCGTGGACTCGTCGTCCGAACGGCTGGCACATCCGGCACCGACATAGTGACACCACGATGCCCAGGGGAGGGAGGAGGGAGGGAGGAGGGAGGAAGGACGAGGCCGAGGAAGCGAGGAGGACAAATTGACAAAACGTATGCCCACACGTCCAGTGTGGAAATCGCGAGGCGGCGGCCGCCGGCGAGCCATTGCCAGGTCCACGTGGCACGATCGAAGCTACTGAATGCAAGCCTGGATTCGAGAAGAGCGCCCAACGACCTCACTGGCCGGCCCAAGAGGCCCCGGGGAGGGCCCCAAACGGGCACTAAGAGGTACCCAGAGAGACCGAAAACCAACACGCAATTAACACAACAACCTCCCCAACAAGGAGAAGGACGGTGTTAAATCCGGGCTGGATTTCGAGCCGCCCAAGGTACCACTTGGAACCCGGTAGGGGCCCCAAGGGGACCACTTGGGAGCCCTGGGAAGCCCGGGCACCGGGCGCCGAGGGGAGGAGAGGGAGGAGGGGGAGGACGACGACGACGAGACAAACCGGCAGAGGGGAGGAGAGGGGAACCACAATGTTCGCCAGGCCGGCGTGTGACGCGCAAGCCTCGCGCGCATACTGCACCAAGGTTTCCTGCGCATCGGCAGTCTGACCGTGGCGGGCGGCGTTTCCAGCAGCGTACACTGCGTACGCGGCCAGGGCGCGGCGAGCAAGTTCACTGGCCGTGTCATCGCGGAACGGAGGGGTTAAAATAATAAAGCTAGACAAGCGATCAGGAGGAGGAGGAGGAAGGAGGCCCAACCGCCTCCGGCTAAAATCCGCGACCCGCGGGCAGAAAGCATAGTGTCGCAGGCTGTCCTCGGCAGCACCGCAACCAAAAACGCAATTCAAGCGTCGTTGCATGCGGTGGCTGGTGTCCAAGCCGTTGCAGAGCGCGCGAAAACTGGACGCCCAGACTCGAGGAGGTACCAGGCGCGCCAATCCGCGGAGGGCACAGGTGGCCCGCTCCAGGCGGCGACCCGGTAAGAGCGGAATGGACAGGCGAGTCAGGCAGCGGCTTAGGTGGCGGACCGCCCCAGTCGGGGACGGGTCTTCCAAGAGAACTCGGCAACGCTTCTGCCATTGCTTCCGCGGAGGGGGCTCCGCAGCAGCACCCTGCATCAGCTCAGCCGTCGTCAGCCCTGCGCTCGTCGCCTTCTGCTGAAGCAGCCCGTGGGCCTGGTCAAGGTTGGTGAAGAAATTGTGCTGGTACCAGTGGTGCCATCGTGCCTGCCGCATCACGTAGTCGGAGCTCCCTCGCACGTGCTCCAATGCCCGGGTTCGTCGGCGGACTTGGAGGCCGCCGTGCGCCACGTTCTCCCAGTGGTAGACCCGGCACTTCGCCGCCGCCGCAGTCGCGCGGGCGTCAATGAGCGCGGACTGGAAGCCGAGGGTGTGCAAGCTCCGGAGGGCCGCGGGAGGCGCCCACCCCCGCGGACCCGGGAAGAGAATAGTGCACGCCTTTTGCTCATAGTCATCCCAATCAGCGGGGGGCCGGTCAAGTTGAAGCACGAAGCCGAGAACCGGGAATATGTATGTGCGGTAAGCCAGAAGCGTCAACAACAAGCCACATCCAATGTCTCTCCAGATCCGGGCTCGCGTAACGAATTTGTCCAAGGGCTTTGTCCAAGAATGCTCCGCGCGCTCTGGCCCCACAGCAAAACCCAGGTAGGTGGCATAACGACGGATTGTAAAGTCGCTCCAGGTGGGGGCCGCCGCGTGGAGCTGAATCCGCACCTGGTCTAAGTCGCCCAACGACAGTGGCACCCATACCGACTTGCCGTGGTGAAGCCGGAGTCCAGAGAGCAGGGCGTACTCCTCGAACATGTGCTCCAAGATCGGGGCGTCTCTCCTCCCGGGCGAGAGCACGACCGCCAGGTCGTCGGCATAGGCGCGCGGTAAAACATCAGGAACGTGACGGGCGAGTCTCCGAAAAAGAACATCTGATAGCACCGCGAACAGCAGGGGGGATAATGGGCAGCCTTGGCGCACCCCTGCTGTGAGAGTAAATCCATCGAACTTCGCCCCGCCAGCGACGATATTGCAGCGGTTGTTCCAATAGAGTGCGCGGACCAAACAAGTGCACCACGTAGGCCAGCCACGCGCGGAAATCACCTCCATCAAGAATTCCTGGCTGACGCTCGGGAACGCGGCCTCGAAATCGAAAAACACCGCCGCCGAGGACTCGTAGACCAGAGAATTGTGGAGCATCGCCTCCTCGATGTCCATGAGGTTGGCCAGCATTGACCGGCCGTGAAGGAACCCGCGCTGGGATGTAAGTGACCGCTCTGGTTGTAAAGTGACCGCTCTGGTTGCAATGTGACCCTCGCGCCCCCTCCCCCCTTCCCCCTACTCGCCGCCCGCAAACTACTACGACGACGCATTCTTGCGCCGGGGGGGGGGACCCCTCCCCCCACGGGCCCCCTGGGGGGTTTCGAACCTCTTCCATTACCTGATGACGACGCTGGTGAGGTTGATGAAGATGCTGACGATAACGATAATTACGATGGAACTGGTGATGTTGGCGATGATGATGGCGATGATACTGATGAGGATGACGAGGAAATGCGCGCGCAGAAACTCTGACAGTCGCTATTGAACAGCAGCCGGCCGTTGTTGCGTACGGTTACGAACACATGTATGTCAACATGCTTAGAATACAAATTAATTCGCGCGTGTGACCTGCATGGTATAGCTCAATAAGTTCGCAGAGTTTGCGGGTGCACGATGATTTTCAACGAGTTCGACATGCGCGCGCGTGTAGATCGCATGGCTTCGTTTGGCAGAATGGCAAAACAACCCACTGCTTTCTCATGAGCTCACTTCCGAAAGCCTGGATGTGTTCCACCCCCACAAGTCCTCTGGACACATATGCTATAAGTAGGTTGTTCCCCCCTTTTTCCCAAACCCATCATTCCCCTGCTCGGGGAGGGGTTTATCTCTGATCAATGCTGGTAAACACCCCTTCCCACACCCGGCCAGCAACAAAAAAGGAACAATGCCAACATCCCCCCCACCATCCCCTTCCCAAAACAACACAACACGCACTTTGCACAAATGTTGCCCCAAACAGCTCCCAGCTTGCTTGGAAAGAGGACCCAGCATGGCTCCAAACTCCCCCCAGCGGCCCCAAAACTCCCCCAAAGACACCAAGACCCTGGACAGTACGCCAACATTGCGAGCCCCATAAGAGCTCCAAGAGGACGGCCCCCCAAAGATCCTACAACGGTGACGAAACAGGTCCAAACATTCGGTTTCACACGTGTCCAGGCCATACCCCCCAACACACACAATGATTGGGAGATCTGCGTGCTCGCCCCCCCGTGGAGGCCCTCCGTGAACCCCGCTTTGCGGGCTCACTGCGTCTCTCCTCCATTTGCAAACACCCACATCGACCAACCACTTGACCAGACGGCCTTCCATTATTTACGGGGAACCGGCGGAATGGCGTAAACTGTTCGGGTATACGAGTTCAGATCCCCCCTTTGTCCATCTTTATAGCATCCTGCTCCCTCGTCCTTCGGCCGTTTTCCCCCGCCTCCTCCTCCTCATCGTTTTCCTCATCCTTTCCCAGCTCCTGTCCATCATTCTCCTCGTCGTCCCACCGTTCCTTCTGCTCCTCCTGCCGCCCCCCCCTCCCCCTCCCCATCTCCACGAAGATAGGCAACGCCCCCATCTCCACGACCACCCGCGTCTGCTCCGCGGTGCCTGACGCGATGTTGGTGAGCACCCAGGCGGCCTCTAACGAGGCCGAGCAGAGGAGCCAGCGGAAGAGGGACCAGCAGGAGGGGGTGAGGAGAATGGGAGCAGAAAGGGGGGAATCTGCATGGTTGGAGGGGGGACAACACCAGGATGGGGGATGATGTTGCTGCTGCTGCTGATGATGCTGCTGCTGCAAGTGATGGTGAGGATGGTGGTGATGAAGATATGGAGGAGAAGAGGCAGCAGTAGCACCATCAGTCGAAAGCAAGAAACATAGCAGTGAAGAAACGCACTATGCCTATTCATCATGGGTTCAGGCAAGCAACATTCGCACGCGGCGAATCGGTTATTGATGTTACTGATCAAAGTGTCTGTGTGGATATTGTGCTCGGATAGATCCTAAGTAGCGACGCGGATATGATGTGCCCCCCGCTATTGCTTAATTTGGCATGGTAAGCGAATGTGCCAGGGTGTGTATGCGATGCGATCAAACGGGCGCGCCCGATCCAGGCGAGGGGAGGGCGCGCGCGCGATCGGTCCCTTTTTAACTTGAAAGCGCAAGCGGCTGAGGTCGCTCCGCGCTGGCCCTGCCAACCTTCGTTTGGAGGGAAGTGGCGGGGAGGGGGAACGCGGCGAGGGGGGCGTTGGGAGTTGCTCTCCACGCGGCCTCCCGGCGCGACATTACCGCGAGCAAGTGGGCGTCAGCAGTGGCAGGTGCCCCGAATGGCGGCGGGGCGCGCCAGCTGGGTTGCAGCGCGTCCCGGGGGCCTGGGTCAGACCCATTCCCGAGGGCACTTCGGCCCCCCTCCCCCCTGGCGCCAACCCGAAAAAATATTTTACAGCGCCACGGGGAGGGAAAGGCGTTCGGTACAAAACCCCGCGGAATAAGCCACGACAGCCGGCGTGCCCCGCGTGGGAAGAAAGTGCGCGCGGGCGCCCGCCGCCCCGCGCATGGCCCACATGGCCCTCGGACCGCCGTCGCGCCTGGGCGCACCAGCGCGCTCGGAGCACAGTTCCGAAAATTTCAGACGGGTCATTCACCGAATCTCCACCAGCTCCGATCATTGCGCCAATGGTCGCCCCGGCCCTGGCTGCCGTTCCAGCCCCGCCAGCTGCCGGAGCCCCGCCCCGAGCTCCGCGAAGTTCAGCGGGCCCGCGACGCAGAGCGCCGCGGAGGGCGCGGGTTTTCGACCGCCTCCGCGGTCCTCAAGCGGACGTCCGCGCACCGGCACTACCGCTGCGGGCCCGGGGCCAGTGCTGGGTGTGAGGGGTGTGCCGAAATGGACATGCGGTGGGCGGGGTGGGCGCATGTGAACGCGGCAACTGGGGCCCTGGGCGGAGCCCCCTATGGTGCCACGAACTGTCGGAGGGGTGTGCCGACACGGGCATGCGGTGGGCGGGGTGGACGCATGTGAACGCAGCTCTCTCTCCTTTGGCTCGAACCTGGCGGCCCAGTCCTGGAAGGTCTCGCCCGAGTTGCGACCAACCTTCAAGCAGAACTTCTCCGCTAGCAGACCTGTTTCGTTGAGGCCCGCGTAGTCTGCTTCTCCAACGCACAATCGAAAACCTCCTCCCGGCCGACCAGCCCGCCGTCGTCGTCAACCCGATCCACGCCGTCGATCGCCGGGCAGCCCCCCACTGCGCTGCGGACCCGAGGCCCCGAGGCCAGCGCCAACCGCGGCACGCAGACGCAGCGTTCGTTCACCCGGATGCTCTTCGCGAACATCGACACCTCGAAGCGATTGCCCGTCAACTTGTATGCCTCGCCATTCCATGATGGGGCCTCCACTCTGGCCGACGGCGCGGTTCCCGTCGAGGACGCCATCCTGGCGAGACTGGTGGGGGCCCGCGGCGTGACAACCACTGGCTCCGCTACCAATCAGAATCCGAGAGAGCCTCGAGAGGTCCTCGATCACGCTGCCGAAGTAACCTCGCTCCTCGGTCCAAAACTCTTCTCTCGAAGATCAAGAGTCTGATGCCTTTCCAAGCGAATTGTGAAGGGCACCTCCTGCCCTCGCGCTATATAATCGCTCGCGGCCAGACGCCGCGAGCTTCAACTGAACTCAGCTGTGCTGCGCGAAGTTTACACCCGCGACCTCGAGCCCGGGCGGGCGGCGGCGCGCTCGCGGCAGACTGAGCAACGCAACAGCAGAATGGATGATGATGATCGAGAAACATCTGCGATGCATTCAGAGGGGGGGGTCATGCTCCGTCGGCGCGCGAGGCGCGCGGGGGAGGGGCGATGGCCGAGGGCCCCCCCGCCAGAGCGCCAGCGGGCGCCGCCTGGGCGCGGAGGCTGGCGAAGCGGAGCGCCGGGGGCGCAGGCAAGGGCATGCCGCCGCAGCAGAATGTGCGGCAGTCCCGGTGGAAGGCGGGCGCGCGGGGCAGCGGGCGGCGCGCCGCGCACGAAAAATGCGGGCGAAGCGTTGAAGTTGGCGGCCTCCGCCCCCGACCCGCCTGCAAGCGCGCGGGGCCGCCGGGCGAATCTCCTCGGGCCCGCGATCCAGGCGCACGCAGCATCCTCCGCGCTGGACCGTGGCGCGGGGTCGCTGGGCGGGGCAGAGGCCGCGGTGCCCCCCGCAACGGCGCGCGCTGCAGGCCAACCGGGACAAGGGCTTGCTCGCCCTGGACCTTTCCAACTCAACGACCTGGACAGCTGCAGCTGGACAATGCTTGGGTCGCGCCCTCGACGCGTTGGCGCCCGCGTGGGCGCCGGTCGCGCGACGCCAGCTGGCCGCCAGCGCGGAGCGCCTGCTGGCGATGGACGACGGCGCTCGCGTCCCAATGCAGGTCCGGCCCGGGGTCCCACGGGGCGGCTCGCGCTGGGGATTGGCGCTCTGGTGCGCGCGCTGGGCGGCCCCCTGCAGGCGGGCGGCGCCCCCGGGCAACTCGCCGCCTTCACGGGAGACGTCGATGCGGCGGCGCGCCCAACCGTCCTCCCGGACACCGCGAAGGCGGCGACGCCGGTGAGGCGGGACTCCAGCTGATCGCGACAATCAAGCCCGCTCGCCAGATCCGGCTCTCGAGATGCCGCTCACGCGGGAGCGGCTCCCGGTCCCGCCTCCAGCAGCTGGCTCCGGCAGGCCTCGGCAGGCACTAGGCCTTTGCCTCGCGCGCGCGATCCTGCCAGCGGATGTGAAGCTCCACGTGCGCACGTTGCTGACCGACGAGCACGCCCTGACGCAGCTGGACGCCCCAGTGGCCGTCGCGACGGCTGCCCTTTGCGGTTCTGCTCCTCTGGACCCCTCCCGCCTTCGCTGGGTCGCGCTTATCGTTGCGTGAATGCGGCTTAGGTCCTTCAGACGCGAAGTGGACCGCGCCGCTGGCGCTCCGCGAAGACCACCATTGCGAGCTCGTTGAAGGACATCGGGGCGAGGGCCCCGCAGTTGGCGGCGAGTGTGGACGCGGCGACGGCGACGCTGGAGCGAGCAGGGCTGGCGGTGCAGGACGATGTGCGCCTCGGGCTGACGCAGCTCCAACCCCACCTGCAGAGTCGCCTTAGCCGTGTCCTGGCCGAGCTGGAGAAAGACGCGCTGCTGGAGAGGCTCCCGTGTGAAGACTGGGCGGACCTCCGCTCGGGCGGAGGCCCTAGAGCGGGGACTTGGTTGCTGCCGGCCGACGAGGACGAGGAATGGATGCC